GAAAGAGTTTCTGTAGCAAAGATTTTGTGAAATGTGATTTAGAAAAATAACTGGGTGGTTTTGTATTTGGTTGAGGATTGTTTTTTTCTTTTTACTGGTGAGGTTTTCTCAGATTAAACAAATTGAAAAAGCAGTTACACACAATTATGAGCAAAAAAACGCAGCTGTAAGTATTAATACTGTCTTGATTTTATCTATCCATATAGGTATAAACAGAGTTTTCAATATATTAATAGCACCATAACAAATTCAAGTGATTCTTAAGATGTTTATAAACTTATAAATATATGTCTGTACTATAGATTGTTACAGCAAGAGATAGATTTGAAAGGCTTCTGAATTTGCGTGTTCACAACTCGTTTCTCAGTTGCACAAGTACACAGGAAAGTACTAAAATCCCAACATCCCTTAACAGCACTGCATCAATATCTAGTCATACAAAAAGTTTCTGCAGTACACACTCTGAGGTAGACAGATCTCACACATATATATTTTTTTTTTTTATGTATATGTATACCCTAATTAAGGTGGTTAATCAGAATGTTGTCTGGCAGCTTTCATTTTATGTCTACATCAGGTACAGCCAGTGTCTGTACACTCAGGGTGCACAGAGGGTGGACACTTACAGCCCTGCTCATATTCTCAGTGCCTCAGTGGCTACAGGCAGTCCCTTACTTACACTAGGACAGTAACAACCACACAAGCAGCTCCAGAAAGACCCAGTATGTCAGTTTGTGTACACATCCATACCACCTGCATTCACTGCTTCATGAAAAGATTATAAAAATGGTAGATGAAAAGATTATAAAAATGGTAGCCCATGATCTCATTTGTTCTCTTCTGCCAGTTCAAGTAATGTTAGACAGAAAAAACCCTAAATTACATATATCTGAGTCCACAAACAGTAAGAAAACACCAGAGCCAAGTTTGATTCCATTGCTCATATGCATGCACACTCACCCCCTCCCCCCGAAACCCAGCCACCCAGCCCAGATGTGGAGTTCTGCCTAACCTAAACGTCCAAATACAGCTATCCTATAACATCATCTGCAAGGACAGCAGCACTTTTTGGCCTTTGTGTGGCTCTCCTTACCATCTCCACATTTCAGTAGGCTCCCTTTCATTCTCTGCTTGCATACTTTTTGATTTCCTTCCCATTCACATCTGTGACTGTAATTAAAAACGAGGAACCCTCTTTTCAAAGGTTGGAGAATCCCTTCTGCAGCAGCAGACCTGAGAACAGAGGACTAAAGACTCCAAAGAAAGAAATTACAGGACACATGCTGAGGAACGTGGTGCTTTGAAAACTCAAGAGGAGGAAGAGGATTTAAAATGTTTGGATAAATTTCTTAAAGTATTAGGTTCCTGTTATCGAGTAACAAGTGATATGTTCTAGCAGAAGAGGGGAAGGAGCACAGCTAGACAAAGCAGGACAGTCACAAGCAAACTTTTTTTCTTATCCAAAGACAATTTATCAAAAAATAACAGGGTTTAATAATAGGAAGGCCAACTAGCATTTTCAGCTGACCAGAAACCTCTTCCAAAAATTAGAAGGTTAACTATTTCCAGCTGCCAGTAATATGACATAACCTGTTTTCAGTGACTTGACACCTGTACCAGACAAATACTCTTACAGTCATACTATATATGCTATACTGTATACAGCTTGCAGAAATCACTTTCAACTACTGTTGTTAAAAAAACAACTATTTCAAAAAGCCTTACAAAAAGTGCAGTGAACCCTGCTAAGTGCTATTGAGGGTGCGTTCTATAACATACATAGTTTATGTATGTATAGATGTATGCGCACATACATACATGCCTGTGTACTACCTTGCATCCATTAGGGCTGATGCAAGCAAAATTATCAGTTAAGGCCAGAAGGTGCTAAAATAATCTTGTCTGACACCCCCCCCCCAGCCTCCCCCAAGACAGCTAGGAATTCCGCTAAAGAAAATGCTATGGTTTTGTAAGAGAACAGGGAAAGGAAATATAAAGCTGCACAAAATGATCTGATGAATTTTTAATTAGTGAAATGAAAACTGTGCAATATCACCCCAAGTTGCCCAAGAGACAGCGTTTCAATAGTTAGTGAGAGCAAATTCTCTCTAAATTAAAAACTGATTTCTGCAAGCCACGACTACATAAGAAATGTTTATTTTTTAAAAAAGTTCACAAATCTAGCATTTTTGAGTATTTGCCGTTATGTGGTGCAATTTATGCCACAGCACAATATCAGGGCACATTAAAATAAACTGAAATGATTTCTATTAATCTTACCAAATCAACATGCATAGGGGAGTAGCAAAACTTTACTAAAACACAAAGTGAGGGAGAGCAGTAACTGGGCAAAAATGACAAACTTATTGGTTTCCCAGATTTTCAGAAGTTTTCAATGCAGCATAATAAATTATCACCAGCCACTACATCCTTAGGTATGTTCAATGCTCTACAGAATAACTTGAATAAAGCCAATGCAATCAGGCATACTATATAAGACAGTAACACTTTGCAAAAATATAGTTTTTAAAGTTTCAGAATGTGAAAAGTAACTAAATGCAACTTGGTGTCAAAAGCAACATTTTTAAATCATCCCACAACACTCTAACTTATTTCTTTGTAACTGTAAGAGATAAATCAGGCTGAGCTACATGGAACTGTGAAGTGTTTTCAGTATCTGTAAACTTAGTGCTGGTAGTGTCTTGTTGAGTTGCGACTTCTTTCTTCCGTACAAAAAAAGTATAAATATTTTCTATCCAGAAATCTAGGCAACACATCCCTAGAAGAAATACTCAGAAGGACAGTCTGCTATGAGAGCCCTACAGTCTTCCAGAATTATTCGGCTGGTTTGTGTCATGTTATTAGTGATGCACTAAGAAGGTGCCAGATGATAGTCTCTGCAAAAAACTCTGTCCAGAAGGACAATAAAGTTCTCTTACAGCAAGTCCATTTTGGGTCTGTAATGTAGCAGTAGAGGTGCTTTCTGGAAGACAGAAACATCAGATAATTTAAGAAACAAAACCAGAACTAATCTGTTCAGTAGGCAAAACTTTTGATGCATAAACTAAAGTGTAAATGAACTATCAGAGTAGCTGTCTGACCTGTCAAAATTTCACCAAGACAAAGACAAGATGCAATTTCAACTGTGGAGCTCAAACAGGAGATGAAGAATCCTTTCCCTTTTGTCTCAGGAGCTGATCATTTTAAGATCAGTTCTACCAGGTCTGTTTAACTTGGAAAACCCATTCCCAGTAAGAGAGAAATGAAGATGTCCAGAAAGCAGCATAGGAGGATGTGGTACTTCATATTTACAAGCTCTCCCTTGATTCCTCTTCTGTGAATGTATCCATTGCTTTTTTATAAGTACATCAACTTCTTACATCCACAACATCCTGCACCAAGGAGTTGTGTGTCTCATGTAAAGAATTGCTTCCTTTTGTTTGTTCTGGACCTCCCACCTCCCAGTTTCATTTTACATCCCCCACGTCTTTCACTTGAGAAGGCAATCCGCAGTTCCCTTTTCCATGTGACTCACAGTTTCATACATTTCCATGATAAAGGCGAATAGTAGACTTGTACAGATGCACATCAATTTGATGCTCTTGTTTAGTTCCCTTCCCACCCCTCCCCCCCCCAATAAAAGTCCCTAACATTTGCTTTGTATCCTTTATATTTACCTACATTGAACTTAAAGTGTTTATTAATCACCTGTAACTCAGAACTGTAAAGGCTTGCTTCAATCTTTTGGCATCAGTGTGGTCTTCGCTATCCTAAATAACCACAATGTTGTCAGTGCACTATTACCACACTACTGTAATCCTTTTCCAGGTCATTCAGGAACATCATACAAAACAGATTCCAGTAGGATTCCACTCATGACCTCTCTGCATTTCAAAGACTGACCATTGACTTCTATTTTGTGACTCTTAGGCAAGTCAATTATTTTTCTACAGACAGAAAAACGCTTCCCTACTCCTACCTGCACCTCTTCTAGATATGCATCTAAAGCCATCAAGTGGTTTTACCCCAGTGTACACTGTAAGCTTGGACTGTGTGGCTTGTCTGTTATGAATACTAACTCCTAGTTCAAATATCCCCAGATACACATTCACTAACTGTAGGTGTGACTAGCCTCCTAAGTGTTCAATTTTGCAATTCATTCTTACACCCATTTCACTTGAGCTGCCATTATTAATGTAATAACTAATACTTAGAATGAATATCCCACTGTTTACTATTCAGTTTCAAGGACGTTGTTTAAAGAAATCACAAGCAGCAAGTCAAAGCTGTACTCAGACTTTTTAACCAGCCTTCCTTATGCCTACTAAATGCTGCTAGAAGTTTCCTTAACTAAGGCAGACAAGCACTGCAGTTATTACCTCTCTTTTAGAAGTAAAACAGCTTTCTTGAGCTGTGTTGAAAATTTCTGCCTTTTCTACACACAGAATGGTCAGGGTTGGAAAGGACCTCTGGAGATCATCTAGTCCAACACTCCGCCAGAGCAGCGTCACCTACAAGTTCCACAGGATGGCATCCAGGCAGGTTTTGAATGTCTCCAGAGTGGGAGACTCCGCAACCTCTCTGGGCAGCCTGTTCCAGTGCTCCACTATGAAAACCAATTTTACCTGAAATAGCTAAAAATACTTTCTTGTGGTTTCCACTTCCTTTGCTAGACTTAATAAGAATTTGATGGTTGATGCAGTGTTCCCTTTTCCCTTGCAATTAATACTTAATTCCTCTTCCCTTCGTTTTCTTGGAAACAAAATTAATACTTGGTGTTTAAGGATGCTGTATTAGGTATTTATTAAAGTATCTATTTATCGAGTTTGCCGTTACTGCAGTATAGTTCCAAATGATGCATATTTTATAAATATTTTATTTGGCCACTTCATGATTTACTTGGAACCACTGTGTCATACCTTAAATCTCCATCTAGTAACAACTACAAACTTGAGTGTGTGGTCCTTGCCAAGAATCTCTTCATTGCATAATATGTCCAGCTGACAAAACAAAGAGGACAGTTAATTCATGGGGACACAGGATGATACAACATATTTCAGACAATACTACAAATGTCTGACAAGATTTTTTTGCTGTGCAGACAAAAATAGCACCAAGAAAGAAAATAGAATGTCTTTTCTCAACATAAAGTGCTGAAAGGCCATGTGTGGAATATTGTGTGAAGAGGACTGAATGGGAATTAAAATATGGAACATGCATGAAAACAATAAGTTCCACCAAGGTAGCTTATATTACCAATGCTTTACCACACAACCCAGAAAGGCCTGAATGTGCATGCAATCCACTTACATGGCTTATCTAATTGGCAATAAGTCAAACCTTCAATAGTATATAGCAATCAACTAAGTGCCCACAAGCTTAAATCCTTCTACTACTTACCCATTACTTGGCACTAGAACACTGACTACACCACAATTCATGTACTCTTTAAGAAGCTAGGGAGGGATAGCAAAGGAATAAACAGTACTCCTGAAAGTTTGTTCCTTTGGTAAAAGTCAAGCAGGTTGTTAAATCACAGACTGGCACAGTGGAATGGAGGGATTAAACACACACGCACAAAAAATATCCCCTTTTGAACAGTGATGGTAGCTATGTTGCTGCTGGGCTACTGCCAGGAGTCAATCACTTCCAAGCCAGCTGAGAACAAGACAGAACATACAGGTAAGACTAGCAGAGTCTGGGGACATACTCCAACCATAAGACAGAGTGTTGGTTTGAAGTGTACAGGAGCTAGGAAGAAAGAGTGATACAGACGCAAATTGGCTGTTGAAAAGTTTGAGCAGAAACGTGTTGACATGTTGGACTTGAAAGCAGATGATTTGCATGAAAAGTCTTAATGAAATTCAGTGAAATGGTGACATAATGTGAGGTTGGGAGATATCAAGCTGAGAGTCAATTGAGATGTCTAGGACTGTGACCAAGACCCAGCAAAGCAGTAAACAGAGGCCACATTCATATGTTCACCACTGTTAACTTTGAATCTGAACTAGGAGAAGTGCAAAGAATTGCATTTTTTTTTGTACCTTTCACCATAAATTCTTCCCATGATTCCAAGTATTCCCTGCAAACAAAGGGAAAAGTAGGTATCTGATAACACCCTGCTTGTGGTAGGCAGCAACTCTGCGTTGAGCTTCACTGAGAGCACAGAAAGGAACAAAGTATTTCTGGTGCCTTCTATTAAGCTGGGCTTCAGCACCATTAAAGTGTTTGTTACTGCCTGTTCCCTTCACTGAGTGTGGAATTTCTGAAAGGATGTGGTATACCTGACTACAACCTGTCAAACAAAGCCCCTTGCCAGAGTCCATTTCAACACATGTGGAAGCACATAACCAAGGCTTTTAGCTCAGCTATTTATATATGGACATGAAAAGATGCACTGCAAACTAAGTGACAAGTCCTGTACAGATGCAAGAAAGAAAAAGAAAATGGCTACATAAAATATAATTCAAGAAACAGTGTTTTCTGAAAATAAAATTAGACTAAAAGACATTCCTTTGCAAACGAACAATCCCACACTTTTCATAAGGTTTTTGTATTTGCAAAATAATTTAAAAAAATTAAAATATTACCTCATTAAAAGAAGAAAGGTTAAGTTTTTTGGCAATGAATTTCTTTAGATGCAAAACTGTTGCTTGTGCTGAGCAGCGAATCCATTTCCGTTTCAATCCACGTAATTTGCTGCTATTGCATTCCAAGCAGATGCTTACCTTCAAAAAAAGCGAACAGTCAGGGTTGGCTGGAACAATTTTCTGCAGTCCTTATTATGTGTTCTATATGCAGTCTTTGTTAATACAACAAAGTGAAAAAGTACAATACTAGTATTCCTTAAACTCAAATACCTGTAGTCCCATTAAAAAAAAAAAAAAAATTTCTAACACCTTACCATTTTAGTGATAAGCACTGTTGCAACCAAAACAGACCTAGATAAAAAAAGTGCAAGACAGAATTTTTGATGCTGGAACACGGCTGCTCCAGTCCAAATTCACAGGCTGCCAATACTTCAAGAGGACCCTATGTGTAAAGCTAGAGTAAGATAAACAGTAAGAATACTACTGCCAATATTTAATGATTGCTTCTAACTAACTTCTTGCCTTTAACGCAACTGCTAAATCCAGTTTAAAACAAAATTTTAATACATGTTTAAAAGAGAAGTTTAAACAGAATAGTTACAAATGACATAATAAATTTTTAAAATTCTAAAGATTATCCCCCAAAAAGGTCTCTCTAATTTCTGTGCTTCTATTCTCACTTCTTTTCCTCATACAGCTATTCATTACTTAGTCTAAGCTCTTTGTGACGATTTACTTTATGCACTAAGAGGATCTAGTATTAGGTACAATCCCTTTGAAAGTTCCCTTACATTATAATTGAAAAGAAAATTAATCCAAGTTTAATTGACTCCTTACACACTCAACAGGAAAACATAAGAGGGATGACTTGCTTATCCTAAATGAAGATTTCACTTTCAAACATGTTTTGTGTTTAAAACTTAATGGTGAACTTCCTGGTTTTCATTATGGTATAGGGCTAACACTGTCTTAGTATTAGAAGTTTAAAACAAAATAAATAGTAAGTTAGTAAAAGAGTAAAAGGTTTTACTCATAATTGTTGACACACATTCAGGTCAATGTATCACAATAACACTAGGATACACTCCTTCAGAAGGGGGACCAAATAACCTGAATTTGTTTTGAAAGCAAATAAATACTTTGGAAATTCATAAACAGTCAGAACTAACAAACCTTAATACAAAAGTCTTTAACGTATTCTCCATTCCTGCAAAAACCCAAAGATGAAACTCATACTTACACAAAAGCATTGGACAACCCTGCATCTTGTTGGTATCAGAGGACAGAAAAAAGTATCTTGAAACACTTATTTTTCTTCTCTGTTAGCCTACCAAAGCATTAAAGCTACAATACAAGATAAAAATAAAACATGCCTGATAGGCTCACCTGTTCGTCACTTCGGTGGTAGTCATTATCTTCTTCCTGTTTTTCCTCAGAAGTTTCTTTGTTTGAATTTTCATCTGGTTTAGTTTCACCTTAGATAAGAAACCAGATACATGGGATAACACTCATAGCACCTTGTAATTCTAATATGATTTAAACAGCACAGTTCAGGACTGCAATACAGAATAAACTTTGCTTTTCCCAAATTGTGCTTATCTGCTTAGGAAATGCCAGCTGCCAACAGCCCTGTGCATGAAATAGAGGACTACATACAGAGCACAACCCTCAGTTCAACTGCTAGCAGCTCAGAACCTGGGTAATTTTATAGCATACCCATGTAGACACTATTATGGAGATCTCCTTTGCCAAGAGTAATATGCTATGATTGACTAAAAGGCTCTCTGCACAAGTAAGGGACAAAGCAACAATCCTACACTCACTGTATTGTGCATATAAAACAATTGTTATGGTAATAAACCACATACCTCCAACAGGTCTGTTTATCAATTTACTAGCCATCACCCGCCCAAGACAGAATAAGTAAAGGACCATTTACCATTTCGATGGGAATCTAGGTGCTGTTTTGCAGAACAAGTCTCCCCTTTGATGTCCCCTGGAACTTCCATGCCCAGTTTGTGATAAAACTCTCTTTGCTTTTTCATTTCCGCTGTTTAAAATTGTAAATAATAATCCCTGTAATAAAGTTCTAATGCAATATTGATGAAGTTATTCCAAATCCCTTCCCTCTTAAGTGAAAAAGTCTTGCCGACAAATAGTGGTATCGTCACTATTTACTGCTCTTCTATCACTGTCTATCTCTTCTATCACTTCTATCAAGTCATCCCTCATTTTATTTTTCAGAGTTAGAATACTAAAAAGTCTTCTGTATAGCTACTATTATAGCAGTGCTATTAGAATGACACAATATTTAAAACACTATACCTTATTTTGAATCCCTCCCACAATATTTCAAACCATTGTTTTTTAATTTCTATTTATAGTTCTGATTTTCAACACGCTAGAAATATTTTTTAAATAATCTCTTTAATTTTATTGATTTTGAGAATGTACTGGTTTTGCAGCTTAAATGGATTGAAATACTCTATTTAAATGAAAGGTGTAACAATATATTAAGACAAAAAATTACTGAGCAGTTATTATAAAGCACTTCTTTAGTTGAACAGATCCAGTCTCAAAGAGGATTACAAAAACACAACTTGAAAGTTACCTGCTAATAAAGGACTCACACAGTAGCATAAACTTCACTGAAACTAAAAGCTGTCCTGCATTACATTCTACCTCTGAGAATTCTAGAAAGCTGGCACAACAGGTTTAAGTACACAGTTTAACAAGAGCAAATGAGAGTTACAGTGTACCAACATTCAAAAGCTGAACTACTATTCTCCTTCACATAATACATTTCAAAGAAATACCCCACCTTCCCTCCCCCCACCTCCAATTGCTGCTAGCACAGGCATGAAATTAAACTAATCACTAGAAGTGACCCAACTGAAGGAATAGGGTTTTCCATTATATCTTTCCTCAGTTCCCACCCACACCACCCCCCAATTTTCATCACCTGAAACTTTTTTTTTTTTTTTTAAAGTGTTCAAGAAGTATGTGCAAAACAACCTCTAAAAAAGGTGATACCACCGCTTACCTTCTTGGAGGCCTGGCACAAGTTTGTAAACAATATCTTGCATTGTTCTGTCATGACTAGCAACAAAAGAAAACAAAATCAAAAGTTTAAGTCAATCAACTTGATTCAAAACGTTTATCTTTAAAAAAGTTCCAGTACTAAATTGATGTAAAATCTCTAAATTCACTTAAGAAGAATTTCAATTCTCAAATGAGTATTTATCTCAAACAAGAGAGGACAATAACATGAAACAAATTATGAAAAAGTACAGGTTAACACAGAAACCCAAGGGAAGTTTGAGGAAAAATTGTCTTGGACGTGTGGAGGATGATGCGCCACGGAGCGTAGCCTCCCACATCAAAGCAAGTATGTCACTAATAATGCCAAAATTTTTTTTACAACTTTGAGGGAAACTTTTTTTTTTTCCACAAAAGAATCAAGGATACTCTGGTTTTTACCCCTACAGACTCCTCTCTCAGATTTCTAGACTACTCAGTTAAATTTACTTCGCTTTTCCAAAAAATGCAAGAAAACAGTTCACAGAAAAAGATCACAACAATAAATTTTACTTTCCTCTTAAAAGCCAACATTTTAACTGTGAGCAACATTATGTAGCTCAGAAGCCTGTATAGGTAGTGTGGCTCAAGTAAAAGAAAGGTAATAATCCCACTGCAACGGGAGCAGCAGGACCAATTCTAAACTTTAATTCCAGCTCACCTAGATAAAATTCCATTTTAGTCTAAAATAAGCCACTGCCTGAAAGAAACACAATACTACCCTAATTCCAATTGATAAATAAAATCAGAAACTTTTCAAATGTCTGTATTGGCTGCTGCAAGGTCACTACCCCAATAGAGCGTGCAATTCCAAACTCTGAATCTGACTTAAATAGGAGAAGAGGATTACATAAGTAGTCTCAGGCTTCTCATCACCTGATATGAGCCCTTCACAGTAGTGGAGACCAGTGAACAAGTACAGAAATGGTGACAAATCAAGAGATTTACAATCAACCATTACAATCTTTTAAGTTGCACTAGAAGAAGAATCAAAGTATCATTAATTCTAAATTCATGTCATTTCAATCAGTAGTAATCCCATTTGCACAGGCTGGGATTTTCAATTGTCACATATGGATTGCGGGAACATCTCCAAAACTATTTCAATATAAATGAGTAGATCAGCCATCAGTATTAGATGAGAGGTGAGAACTTAACAGCATTTAGAAATCTGAAATAGGAGATACATTTGATTTAACTGTTTTCCAGATGGAGGGAGATGAACAGGAGTGCAAATCTACATTCTAAGACATATTGTGTAACTCCTGAGTGTTAAATCTTTAAATATATATATATCCAAAAGTAGGCTGGGCAAAGGTTGTTTCAGTCTTGAAGGGGCAGTATTTTATAACTAGTTCAAGCAAAATACTTCCTTTAAAGCAGCGAACTCCTTTCTAGCTGTTCTCAACCTGATGCTGTTTCCTGGCCCCTTTGACCAGCAAGTTGAGGGAGGCGACTCTGCCCCTCTACTCCACCCTGGTGAGACCCCACCTGGAGTACCACATCCAGCTCTGCAGCCCCCAACATAGGAAAGACATGGATCTGTTGGATCGAGTCCAGAGGAGGGCCACATAGACGATCAGAGGGCTGGAGCACCTCTCCTATGAAGACAAGCTGAGAGAGCTGGGGTTGTTCAGCCTGGCAAAGAGAAGGCTTCGGGGAAGCCTTCTAGCAGCCTTCCAGTGCCTAAAGGGGGCCTACAGAAAAGGTGGAGAGGGACTCTTCATCAGGGAGTGAAGCAACAGGACAAGGGGTAATGGTTTTAAACTGAAAGATGGTAGATTTAGATTAGCTATGAGGAAGAAATTCTTTACTGTGAGGGTGGTGAGACACTGGAACAGGTTGCCCAGAGAAGCTGTGGATGCCCCATCCCTGGAAGTGTTCAAGGCCAGGTTGGATAGCGATTTGAACAACCTCGTCTAGTGGGAGGTGTCCCTGACCATAGCAGGGGGATTGGAACTAGATGATCTTTAAGGTCCCTTCCAACTCTAACCATTCTATGATTCTAAGTGTCTTTTATTCATTCTTGTCTATTGGCATATACTTATCTCTTCAAAGCATACACTCGTATAGGGTATTATCAGTGTATCATATAATGCGTTATCAGTGTACACTATTATTCTTCAAATACAGAGATTGCATAACCAGTTTCAGGCTCCTGAATCAGGATCAGCATGAGCAACACAAGTGTGTGCAGAACATCAACAGTTTTCTGTAAAAGCAAAGAGAAATCAACACTCATTTTCTACAAGCAGTGCTTCTGAAATTGTTATAAAACTGAAAAAGGCACATTGAAAACTGTCACAAACAAAAGCACATTCTTTATAAAGGTAGGCAAAACATTACTTGGTATGTAACAGCTAGTGCAAACACACTGTCACAATGGATCTTCATCAGTAAAAGTTATTACAGTTCAGTAAAATGAAACGAAAGCACTGAAGGGAAAGAAAGGGAATGTCTTTTTGAAACAAAACAAAACAAAGCCAAACCAAAAATACTTGGTTAAAAAAAAAAAAAAAAAGGAAAACAATGAATAACACTACATCCATGTTAGGTCAGAAAGTGAGAGCAGTCTGTGTGGGGATCAAAATATAAAGTACAAGATTGTTCCATTCTAGAAATTAAAGCCACTGGCCTAATATTTTGGTGCCATTTTATTACCTGTTCCTATGAACTAAAAAGACCTTTGAAAGATTAACTGAACAATAAAACTGACAATTATTTCTCTCATTACTCTGTCAGACACTGTTCAACTGAGACTAATTATTTTGAGGATTTTGTAAAAATCTAGTTTCTACAAATGTTTGATTTATGTAACTTTTACAACACAAGCATATAAAATGAGGAACAACTAAATCCCATTAAAACTCACACAGAAATTAAAGAGTAAAGTGCATACTGTGTTTGATTTTAAGTCTGGAAGAAGCTAACAGATGTCAAGGAGTTGCAAATTCATAGCAAAGTTTGATCCCATATCTCCGCAATCACCTTCAACCTTACTTTTCAATGTTTAACATGCTGATAAGCAAGTAAGAAAATTGAGGAGAAAGCTGTACTATATTAAAGAAGCTGGATCAGTCTAGAGTGAAGCTTGTTGCACTTCTGCTTTCATACTTACCCAATATACTGTAACGGGTGGCTCTGATGTATAACAATTCTACAGGTTGGACAGGTGTTGTTTTCCTCCAAATATTTTACTAGGCAGCTTCTACAGACTAATAACAAGGAAATTCATAATTAAAAAGAAATAAGCATAATGAAAAAAAAAAGTTTGTTTTTATACAGTCACAGCAATGCACCAAATTAAAATTTACACAAAGTTCATTTTTTACGTCATGTAAGCATGATGTCTAATCATGCAGAATACAGTTTCCAATACCTTTCATTAATGTTCTTGACACAGGGAATTGATGTACTAGAATTAAGGCACCCGTTCCTAGCCAGTGTATTTCTAGTAAAGCATACAACACATAATCCCACTCTGTAATTTATTAGAACAGTAATTTCTAGCATGTCAACATCATATTGCTTGCACCATTCAGCTTGCACCAATGATATTACAGGAACTGTATGCCATTAAGATACTAAGCCTACCTGCTTTAACTATGGCCACATACAGAAGTGAAGTGTACAATGGCAATGAAATTAAGACAAAAAATATTATTCCAAAGTTGGATACTTTTTAAGAGAACAGAAAACTTTCAAAAAGTGGATATCTAGGTGCTATTTTAATTCTAACCTTCATAGACTACACTACAGTTAAACTTCCACCAGAAAAAAAAAATTACATGGGCACAGACCTACAGTATTTACAAAATGCCCTGATGGAAGTTGCTGAAGTAGTCGTTCATTATAAAGCTGCACACTTTTGGAACTGTTTCCATATGCATATACACCATCATCCGTATCTCATTCAAAGTAAAAAATTTACATTTTCCCACCCCCCCACTCTACAAAGAGTACTCATAATATACACTACTACATGATATCCTGACTCACGTGAAGTTACAACTCAAAAATGTGGGGGGAAAAGGGGAGGGGGATAGCTTTTCTCAAAGAGCAGCAGTTCATGTAATCTTGGTATTTATGCACTTGTTCTTACCACATAAAATGGAACAATTTCTGTAACTGTAGAGCCATCTACCTCTCAGACAATATGATAGTACAATTAAATAAACACCTGTTAATACCAAAAAAATTATGCAGCAGTCAATGACGCATAGTAAGTTTGCGTTCTGCATTGTATTTAGGTACTTAGGACGACAGTACTGTTGTCAGTAGAGGTGACCAAGCCTCATAGCTTTGCACATTAAGTTTGCACAGGAAGGCCAAGGTGCAGCTGGAGCTGAACTTGGCAGGGGACGCAAAGAATAAGAAGGGCTTCTACAGGTATGCCAGTAAAAGACAGCACGCGTCCCTTGATGAACTCAACTGGCAAACGGATAACAACACATGGGAGAAGGCTGAGGTGCTCAACAACTTTTTTGCCTCAATCTTCACAGGCAACCTCCCTTCCCACACCTATTGAATGGATGGACCTCAAGACAGCGACTGCTGGAGCAAAGTCCCTCCCACTGTAAGAAAAGATCAGGTTTGTGACCACATGAGGAACCTGAGCATACAGAAGTCTATGGGACTTGATGAGATGCACCCCAGAGTCCTGAGGGAATTGTCTGATGTAAATGCCAAGCCACTGTCCATGACATTTGAAAAGTCATGGCAGTCAGGTGAAGTCCCCGGTGACTGGAAAAAGGGAAACATTGCACCCATTCTTAAACAGGGTATAAAAGGCGAACCCTGGCAACTACCAAGCTGTCAGTCTCACCCCTGTGCCTGGGAAAATCATGAAACATAGCCTCCTTGAGCCTATGTTAGGCACATGGAGGACAGGGAGGTGATTCAAGACAGCCAGCATGGCTTCACCAAGGGCAAGTCTTGCCTGACCAACCTAGTGGCGTTCTACTGGAGTGACTACATCAGTAGACAAGGGAAGAGCTACAGATGTCCTCCATCTGGATTTCCGTAAGGCCTTTGACACAGTCCCCCATGACATCTTCCTCTCTAAATTAGCGAAATACGGATGTGATGGGTGGACTATTTGGTGGACAAGGAATTGGCTGGATCGTGGCATCCAGAGGGTAACGGTCAACGGCTCAATGTCTGGATGGAGATCAGTGACAAGTGCTGTCCCTCAAGGATCCACACTGGGACCAGAACTGTTCAATATCTTCATTAATGACATAGACAGTGGGATTGAGTGTGCCCTCAGCGAGTTTGCTGACAACACCAAGCTGAGTGGTGCATCTGACACACCTGAGGTATGGGATGCCACCCAGAGGGACCTGGACAAACTCAAGAAGTGGGCCCGTGTGTGCCTCATGAGGTTCAACAAGGCTAAGTGCACAGTCCTGCACCTGGGTCGGGCCAACCCCTGGTATTGTGGGTCAGATGAATGGACAGTGGGATGGATTATCATGAGGTTCAACAAGGCTAAGTGCACAGTCCTGCACCTGGGTCGGGCCAACCCCTGGTATTGTGGGTCAGATGAATGGACAGTGGGATGGATTAAACAATGGCTGACAGATAGAGCTCAGAGAGTTGTGGTTAGTGGTGTAGAGTCTAGTTGGAGGTCAGTAACAAGTGGTGTCCCTCAATGTCAGTACTGGGGTCCATTCCTACTCCATACATTCATCAGTGACCTGAATGAAGGGATAGAGTGTACCATCAGCAAGTTTACTGATGACCCAAAACTGGGAGGGGTGGCTGACATGCCAGAAGGCTGTGCCGCCATACAGTGTGACCTGGACAGGCTGGAGAATTGGATGGAGAGGAACCTTATGAAATTCAACAAGGGCAATGGTAGGGTACTGCATCTGGGGAGGAGTAACCCCATGCATCAGTACAGGTTGGGGGTTGACCTCCTGGAGAGCAGCTCTGTGGAAAGGGACCTGGGAGTCCTGGTGGACAATAGGATGACCATGAGCCAGCAGTGTGCCCTGGTGGCCAAGAAGGCCAAGGGCATCCTGGGTTTTTTTGAAGGACAGGGAACTGCTGGAGAGGGTCCAGCAAAGGGCTGCAGAGATGATTAGGGGACTGGAACACCTTTCTTATGAGGAAAGGCTTAGGCACTTGAGTCTTTTTAGTCTAGAGAAAAGAAGACTGAGGGGGGATCTTATCAATGGGTGCCGGGGGATGGGAACAGGCTTTTTTCAGTGGTGCCTAGTGACAGAACAAAAGGTAATGGACACAGACTTGAGCATAGGAAGTTCCATCTAAACATGAGGAGGAACTTTTTTACTTTGAGGGTGGCAGAACACTGGAACGGGCTGCCCAGAGAGGCTGTGTAGTCTCCCACACTGGAGACATTCAAAACCCGCCTGGATGCCATCCTGTGCAACCTGCTGTAGGTGACCCTGCTCTGGCAGGGGCATTGGAGTAGATGATCTCCAGAGGTCCCTTCCAACCCTGACCATTCTGTGATTCTGTGATCAGTACAGGCTGGAGGATAAACAGATTGGGAGCAGCCCTGCCGAGAAGGAATTCATGGTACTGGTGGATGAAAAGCTGGACAAGAGCCAGCAATGTGTGCGCGCAGCCCAGAAAGCCAACCATATGCTGGGCTGCATCAAAAGAAGAGTGTCCAGAAGGTTGAGGCAGGTGATTCTGCCTCTCTACTCGGCTATGGTGAGACCTCACCTGGAGAACTGCGTTAACCTCTGGAGTCCTCAGCACAGGAGAGACATGGACTTGTTGAAGTGGGTCCAGACAAGGGCCACAAAAATGATCAGAAGGATGGAACACCTTTCCTATAAGGACAGGCTGAGCCGGTTAGGGTTGTTCACCCTGGAGAAGAAAAGGCTTCAGGGAGACCTTACTGCAGCCTTTCGATACTTAAAGGGGTCTTATGAGGAAGACGGGCACATACCTTTTAGTAGGGCCTGCAGCGATAGGACAAGGGTAATGATTTTAAACTAAAAGAGGGTAGATTCAGACTAGATATAAGGAAGAAATTTCTTCACAATAAGGGCAGTAAAACACTTGCCTAAAGCAGTGGTAGATGCCCCATCCCTGGAAACATTCAAGATCAGGTTGGATGGGGCTCTGAGCAACCTGATCTAGTTGAAGACGTCCCGGCTCACTGCAGGAATGTTGGACTAGATGACCTTTAAAGGTCCCTTCCAACCGAAACGATTCTGGTACCTTCTGAAACAACGTCCCATTTCAGTACATCTTCCAGTTTGGACCAGGTCTACACTAACTCCTCCTAAACTGAACTTGTCACAAATCGGTTCAGGTTCTTTATTAGGTTTATTAGTATGAGCACAGCATCAAAATAAATGCAAGTAGATAGTCTATTGGAGGGCAGTGCAGTCTTCTAGATTAGTTATTTTTTCTACAGGGTCAAGTTGGGATTAATAAACTCTCCTGAAACCGCAAGTCCTAGGACTATGGGACAGCTGATATGGGAACCATTCTACGGTCTGAAACGATAGCATTACTAGAGTTTTTCCACTACCTAGTATTTCCAAAATCCTCAGTCTCCATTTACACAGCTACCTGGGCACCGACTGTAAGCATGAACTGAGCTGTACATTTTCTACTTTTACAGTACACTTCAACATATCAGAGACTTTAATTAGAAAAGGAACAGGCAAGGTTAATCCTCACTCACTTTTTTTTTTCTCTCTGAACAGTTTCATTCCTCTTGAATTTTTTCATTTCTCTATCTAGTTCAAGAAATACCATTGGTCTTGCACGGTCCTCATGAACCCACAAAATACCTTTCATAACATAACAAACATAACATACCATAACAAAGGGCTTTCCCTTTCAAAACGTATGAGGACAGCTTTCACATGTAAACACTAATGAAAATCAAATTAAAGATGTAAAAGTTTAAGAAGACCTGCATATATCTGCTAACCTAAAATTCTAACCAAGAAAGAGATGTAAACTAGGAAAGACTTAACACTGAGTTACTACTAAAAAAGATTTTATCTACTGACTTATAGGCCTGCCGGTCACCAACAAACTAAAGATATGGCAGAGAATCAAGTAAGAAAGGGAGCAAAAAGCTTGGTTTTCCCCAAATTCTGTTTTACAAAAGAAGTTGGCCCTGTCCCTCCAAAGGACTGGTCCTCCAAGTGACTCCCACCAAAGGACTCAAGAACTACATTTCCTACTGAAGTGAAGTGTCTCTGAATGTCTGAAGGACAAGAAATTAGAGGAAAAGATAAAAAAACTGTCAAGTTCTGAGTAGAAACAGAAAAAAAATTCAGGGTGGTGTAATTCAGCGGAGAATTCACTATCTCAACAGACAGGGCACTTTCAGGATAGATTTTGCAAGGATGCTTTTCCAGGAACCTATGTATAACATATACAATACAAACAATGCCAAGCTGTATAACGTTTTTTAAAAAGACAGGGCTATATGCCTCTTCTCAGAAAACTGCAGTTCTATGGGACACGCATTGAATTAGTATTCTGAAAATATAAACAGCCAAAATAAAGGAGGGTGAAGCCACAACAAGAAAACAAACAAACCAACCAACTAACCAAAGAAGCAGAAGCTAGCAAGGATCATTCCCTGGCTTTTGAAGCAAGCACTGCAGCACTGTGGATTAATCTAAAAATTCCCTCCATAAGCAAATGTAAGAAATGGTGTAGATGATGTCAGCTGAGGAGTTCTGGGGGGTTTGGTTGTCTTTTTTTTTTTAAGGAACAATGAAAAATGACCCTCTAGCTCTGTCAGGCACATTAACTTGTTATAATACTGGTTTTATGTAGCAACTTGCAATAGCAGCAGTAAAGAATTTGGGGCAAAAATAAGGATCTCTACACTCCAAAAAGAACACCATGGAAATTAATATGTGAAACAGATGCAGAAGGGACATGAGAATAACCAAAATGACATGGAAGCGTGACATGAGCAACAAACTCATTAAAGCTGATGAACAGAACTTCTACATGAAATACAATGAAAAACGTAATCTCTGACAATTTGTGAGCATTGTATTTCCCCTTTCTAAGACAATTTAGGTGAAGAATAACTCTACTGAAGCTTTCATTTTGTGGACACAAAGCCACTGCCACCAAATAATTCCCTTCCAAGAAAGTTTAGGACTATGAGTCATCACGCTATTCAAACAACATACGAGCTTTATCAGAATAAAATATAGTGACAGAAGCACTTTAAAACATGGGATGTTTGAAGGTGCATGGCAAATACTGCTTAATAGACTAATACAGGTGCATATAAACAAAAGAAAGGCTAATCTAAGATCTGAGCAGATAAAACTGCACAAATGGAAACTCCTGGGTGACAAGGATGTATCGGTAAATTGCAGGGATTCTGAATACAGCTAGAAAAAAAACTTTCAGTAAACCCCTGTAATATAACGTGTAAAACCATCTATGTTTTGCTACAGAGGATATTTAATGTTGCTACAGAAGGCTTTCTAGACTGAAAGTTAATTCCTCAGCTGATACCAACCTTGGCAAAGGAATATATTCTCATCCTCAGTTTCAAGACAGAGAACAGTTTTGGAGTTACCACTTGGGACTACAAGGGTGCTTCTCCTCAGAAGGAATCTTTCTGGATTTTTAGTTGGAATGGTTCTAATATGCAAGGTTTCCGTAAGAATATTGCAAACCTTTGCATTCCTGTATCCCACGATGTCAACAACAAAGATGCTGGGATGGACTTACACCTTTTCTTGAAGCCTAAGGCTTTGCAAGGTACTACGGCATACTTCACCAATGTGAAAATAGAAACTCACAAAGTTACATAACAACAAACAACTACCTCCTCACAGTAATTTGGAACAAAAGCTTATTTCTAGGGTACAATACAATATACTTACTCTCTATCAATAAACTATGGATTCTCTCTGCAGAGGAACAGGAGAACAAGAGACATTTGGAAGGCTTCAGGTAGAGAACATATGCTATATCAACTGTCACATAAGAGAGAAATAGGTGTTCCACATTCCTTTAGCAGGAAGACAGACTGCATTCTTGAATGCACACATTACCACTAATTGTACGTGGCTTCAAGTTTGCACAGTGTAGCTTTAATGTTCTCTTTATTTTCTTTGTTTAAAAAGCAAATAATCTCTTAAAAAAAGCGGTGTCTAGTAAAGCACACATCATTTTTGCTGAAATACAATAGATTTTTTAATTTCAACTAAAACCCAGTAACACATGTTCCAAAACAAGTTACAAAAAAACCCAAACCAAAACAAAAAACCCCCAACAATTTCTTTAACTTAATTATACTTCTACTTACAAGTATGTAAGCATTCTGTTACAGTAGTAGCATCAATCAGGTATCCATTGCACAGACGACAGGTTATATGGGCATTAATGTCCCAAAGCTTAATCTTTCTTGTTAACATCTTTGGTGTCTGCAGAAAAGACATATTGTAAAGTAACACAGCTGTAGTGATCAGGTAAAAGTCATTTGGGAATAAATTATTAACTAGAATTAACCCTAAAGATATGTTTATACAGATTTAGGCTTTCATATACCGCACATGCACATGCACAATGATAGCACTAACTTTTAAAGGACTTCAGAGAAGTGAAACAATGCAAAACCCACACTATTTTGCGAGTCAAAATTTAAATAGCACAGAAAATAGTCTTTCTAGCGTGATATTAATAAATTCCTTTAACCAACCAAGAGACTTGGATTTAAGATTAAACCCTACTATTCCAGTGATATAAGTCATCACATTCAGTCTAGTAATGGGGAAAATTTCACAAAAATCTGAAAAGAGAAAATCCTCAAAGCAATTTGAGAATTGGAAGCATTTTGATATTGAAAAGTAAAAATAACTAGGTCTGATTTGGCATAGTAGGTTTAACCCCACTTTTAAGTGTTTGTCTTGTGCCAGTACAGTTAAAGCATTATTTGGAACCTCTGTCTCAATAATGGAGCTGAAAAGTAAACCTTCTGAGACCCCATTTTATTTAAATTCAAGTTAATTAAAGAATAAATTACAAACTAAAATAGTCTCACTGGCAGAGCTGCAGTTTGTTGTACTAAGAATCTTGAACAAGCAAGTTTTTCTCTCTTCAGAGCAAGGAATGGCATAACCATCATTAAAAGGAATAAAAATCAGAAATTAAAAGCGAAACAGCTCTTTTAACTTTTTTGCAGCAATCCCAATTGCTTTTAGAAAAAAAACACAACGCAAAGTACGTGCCTTAACAAACTGTTACCTTTTAAATATAGCTATATATTATTTTTCAAAATATATTGAAAGAGAAATCGTACTTCTACAATAAGTTGACAGCATTCGAGTTAATTAACAGAACAGGCTAAACTGGCTTAAACTTACTACATTTGGCTCCCGCACTGCAGAAATCACCCATTTACACTGTTTGCACTACAGTGACTTTACTTTCTCTGGCTCACAAATACTAGTTTTCATCTAGCTTAGTTTGGAATATATTTCAGAATTTGAAAGGTGACACATGTTCCCCAAATTTCACATAGAAATATTGTAACAGGGTTGTCTGATCTTTAATTTAATTTGTCATGGTTTTTTTCTATGTTTAATGAAGTGGTACAAATCAAAAATAACTATCAAAAGGCAAACTTTCACACTAATATGGACTATACCAGCACTGAAAAAGTACTTCATATTCCATTATGACCTACAGAAAAGCACATCCAACACCCACCAATTAAAATCTGCATTGTCCTATACAAAAATTACTAGGAAGATTTCTAGTTCTAAGAAGTAAATGACACAAAAATCTAACTTATTTTATGGTATTTGAGATCTCTTAATTAAGCTAGTGACTAGCTATTACAGAAGAATGAAAGCACAACTTAGTTTTACAGTGCGCAAGGTAGGTCAGAATCTATGCTAGGAAACTGAATTATTTTTCTAAATTGTATTCTATAGATTTATTTCTAACCAACTGAAAACCAGCCACATATTAAACCCTTGGAAGTTAGTGCATAAGGTCTCCAGTTAAAGAAGCTACTGCATGAGGTAAGTACATTTCTATAGCACAGGGGAAGAGCTATTCAACATCACTCTTTAAGAAGAGTTCAGGAGATGGCTTAAAACCACCAGTTAAATAGAAAGTCAGCACATTGGAAAACATAATGCATGACAGGCAAAAGAGAACTTAAACTATAAGGATACCTAAAAAAGGCAGTATCAATACAACTCTAGTTACTTGACTAGGCAGGAATTCAGAAAAAGGTGTTCAGGATCACCACATACTGAATTCAAGCACAAATAAGGCAGAAGAGCCAAAGACATTATGGTGAAAACTGAAGCAAAGAAATTATTTATTTTCTAGAAAAAGCACAACATTTTTTTCCCCAGTACAGCAGAGATAAGCACTGCTACTAGAAAGAAAAACCTGCAACAAACAAAAAACAGTTCAGATGGGGTATAATACTATGAGAACAATGAATGAACCATACAATGAAGAAGCTAAAAATACTACAAAATGTTAATATAGCCCATTTATAGCCCATTATGTCAGAAAAAGAGGATAGCAAAGATAATACACACTTCACTGACTGAATGGAAAACAAAACCATACACTTTTTGGCAATGGAAAAAATACATGTCTTCTAGAATATCCAGAGTAAGTCTGTCAAATCAACCTTTTGAAAATTTTATACACCTTTCAAGAATGACACCCCATGCATCACTATTACCCCATGCATCAGTACGGGTTGGGGGCTGACCTCCTGGAGAGCAGCTCTGTGGAAAGGGACCTGGGAGTCCTGGTGGACAATAGAAGTAATGAACACAAACGTGAGCATAGGAAGTTCTGTCTAAACATGAGGAGGAACTTTTTTACTTTGAGGGTGGCAGAGCACTGGAACGGGCTGCCCAGAGAGGCTGTGTAGTCTCCCACACTGGAGACATTCAAAACCCGCCTGGATGCCATCCTGTGCAACCTGCTGTAGGTGACCCTGCTCTGGCAGGGACATTGGAGTAGATGATCTCCAGAGGTCCCTTCCAACCCTGACCATTCTGTGATTCTGTGACACAAAACCTGTCTCATTATACATTTAAAGAATAGAAACTGGAAACTACTGGAAGAAGCAGCAGAATGAGAACAGGTTTTTCCAGGTCATTAGACACCTCAGTTTCAAAACCAGACAAACCTACAGCCAGAGATTTCTCCAGCTTCTTACAGCTGTTGAAACAAGAGAACCATCTCTTCTCTGCAGATGGAGAGGCCCAGACATGGTAGCTTCAACACAGTTTGAATCTCCAATAAGCAATGAAACTTTTAAAGTCTGTAAGCAAGCAGTCAGTGTCAGACTCCACTGTAGACTGCATCTTGTGCAATTGAGACCTGTGTCCTCTAGGCTTAGGAAAAAGAAGAAAATTGGAATGCCTCTCATTTTTCATAACAGTTAACATGTAACAATAGGAGGCCTTCTTGAAGAGAGGGGAAAAAAAAAAAAAAAAAGCCAGACCAGTTCATACCTATTTAGAAGGGAAGAGAGGAGCTAGCAACAAAACGGTTGATGACCGAGATGTCAGTTCAGTTAGACAATATACTTAAAGACATCTTCAGTTGCTTCCCAGAGGGCAAAAAAAATTTAAAAATTGGCAAAACTACTGACATATATAAAGAAGAAATAGAAGTACTAACATTACAGCCTCATGTAAGAAATTAAATTCATTAATAGCAGCAACAAATTAAAAACCTAAAGTAATTCCACACTCATCACCTGCGTGTTCTGTATCACTTCAGAGGAAAGTAAAGAACATAATTGCAAATTTCATGATCAACTACTTTTTTCTCATCATTAAATGTATTTGAAAAGGATATACAGTCATACTAAAAAATATGAAGCTAAGTTACCATTCACAATACTTAGGAAGAAACCCTCAATGTGGGTACATGGCTAATACAGGATGTCTTCCATGTTCCTATCTGGAACATGTTAACAACTATTAACTCAGAAGGGGTACTAGTCTATTTGAACCACACATCTGCTTGTGGGAAGCAGTCCCAACATTCCTATGTTCCTATAGCCTACTACCAAACAAAAATTAACAGTCATTTTCATCATATAAGACAGCCAAGTTCTTATCACCTCACCAAAACACACCAAACATAATTTTCAAGTAACCATATATACACTGAAGTACACTGCTGCAGGGGAAAAATGTGAATTAGATCTGAAGATTCAAAACAAACAGAAGGCACAAAAATCTTCTAAGACGTTAATGCTGACAAGCATATCATAAATATATCCTTATACCCTATTTCTATGTCATCTTAACTCCGCCTTAATTATTATAAAGACTACCCATTATTTCATCATTAGGAGTACGGTAACAAATTTAAAAATCTATTTATTAAAAATCTAAGATTTTACATCACTCTAATCAGCTTGCAAATTTCAGTTGAAATATTATTTGGGTTTATCAACCAAGCAACTGAAAACCTAGTTAATTTTTAACTGCTGGCCTCTCCTGAAAGCTAGATGACATCTATCTCATGAAAATCTCAATATCCTTCAGAAGTCTTAGCATCAGTTTTTGCTATTTAGGTAGCACTCTCAAAGAGCTACTTTTACCATATTAACGTATAGTAACATAAAGAAAGGAGGAAAAGCATGTTTACCAGCTGCTGGATTTCTCTGAGCAATTCTGAATGAAGTGACATCCTTCTGCTTAGAATACTGACACTTTCTGCACATACAATTAATCCGTGTTAGTCCCATAAAAACTGCATCTAAACAGCAAGACTACACAATGTTCAAAACATGACATTTGACTGAAAACCACCAAGATTAGCCAGCTTGTTTTAACCAACCTACTTTTCTATTTTCTGGGCAAATCCAGGTTTCCCCTCAATACCTTTATTCTGAAAAGGTGGACAAGTGTTTTCCAGCTCTGAACTCCAGGTCCTATCTTCCACAAATCTCATCTTCCCATCTCTCTAACAACGATATGTTGAAAAGAAAGCTACAAGTGAATTCAGAAACTTCAAAAACAAGTAATCTAAACTTAAAAAGAAAAAGAACAAAAGTACAAAACCGTCTTTGAATACACATTCCCAAGTGAGTTTGCAGTTTAAGAGTTCAGAAATGTTCAGACAACTGGATAAAGCACTGAGCAATCTGGTCTGACCTCATAGCTTACCCTGCTTTGAGCAGTTAGATTACATGATCTCCTGATGTCTTTTCCAACCTGAATTATCCTATGAACTTACTACCCTACTGCACTACCTTCACCCATCCTTGTGATAGACAAGCTGAATGTCTTCACTGTTTTTACTGCTCTCAAACTGCTCATTCAGTACTTCAAGCAACTGTTACCCTGTCATAATCAGAGAGACATCAACTCAGTGAAGTTAGCATGAGCTCAACATCTAAAATTTACATCTAAAATTT